GCTTATTCCTGGTTTTCGTACTACTCTGGGTTCAGTCTGTTGTGACACATATGGGGTTTTATATCCTTGTAATACTGTCTGGAGCACGCAAGAGAGCAGACGGCGTTAAAGGAGCGATAAAGTAAAAGCTGCAGATTGTCTTCACATCTGAACTCATCACGGTGATCATCAGAGTCTGGAGCAGCCCGCTGATTAAGTAGATCAGAGTCTGGGATGTATTTAAGAACCAGTCCCTACGGAGGGATTTAAATCTGCAGCATAAAACGCCATGGTGTGTTATGAGCAGGTCGTAAAAGGCGCCTGTTGGATGTAATGGCTCGGATCGGACGGTCTGCTTTATGGCATCCTCTTGCAGAACTCTTCGGCAGGTCTGAAAAATAGAAGCAGCTGTGTTGTTTTATTTGTTTCCCTTTTCTGACACAGTCGATGAAGTTTTTTCCTGCAGCTCGGAGCATAATGTGTGTGGGCGAGAAGTGCATACGGTGGCCCTGCGGAGATACAGATGAGCACCTCCGAGCTCGCTGAGAAGGCAGCTCTGAGTAAAAACAAGCTGTAAATTTCTTACACTGATGAGGAGGAAACAAAAATTATTTTCCAGCAGGGATGAGTCTGAAACAAAAATTTTTTTTAAATCGTCATCCCTAGAAGGAAGGTGCCTAACCACTTTTTGACTAAATCATCTTATGTTGAGAAATGACAAAGTTGTTGTTTTGGTCTAACTTTCAGATTAACTGTGACATGCAAACTCATGCAATATTGTGTAATGTCACATACATTATGTAAGTGACTCTCAGCTACTACCATGTCAAATTTGAGCCCATTTGTGATAATTGAATGAGTAAAAATCTTTTTTGTCTTGGTTTTGATTAGCTGCAGTGGCCATCTTAGATTGGATTGACTTCAAAAGTTAATCACTTGTAGATGTACATCCAGTTATTACATAATGAGAATTTTAATAAAATCCGTCCATGTGTTCATTGGAAATTTTGCCAACAGACAAAAAAAGTTTATGTCAAAACCCAATGCTAAATTTTTAAGAAAGGATTTTGCACACTATTTGCATTTGGAGTAGGTTGAGAATAACTCTTAGCTACTACCGCACCAAATTTTGCACAGCATTTGAACAAATTGACTGAATTATAATCATTTTGGTGTTTTTTTTATGACAGTCAGCTATGGCAGCCATCTTGAATTGGGCTGGCTCAAAAACTTTATCAGTTGTACATAAAAATCTAGAAATGATTTCCTGGAAGTTTCATTAAAATACATCCAGTGGTTCTTTTGATATTTTTGCTAACAGACAGACAGAGTTCCCTCCAAAATGTTACCAGACTTTTTTGAAACAAAAGAGTTGTGTAATCTCTGTACTCTAATTGTTAGAGAGTAGTCTCAACTACTACCACACTAAATTTAAGGTCAACATCTGTAAATCTGAGTTATTGTCACTGTGTTTTTAAAAGTTAGCTAGCTGTGGCAGCCATCTTGAATCCAGTTGACCTCAAGAGTTAACAAGCTGTAAATGTACATCTAGTGATTACACTCTGCACGTTTCATTAAAATTCATCCATGAGATATTTTGCTAACACAGGCAAAAACAGCCTTTCTGTGGCAGTTATTTATGGGGTGCCATTTCTAAAGTTACACAGTCAAAATTGAACTGCAACATTTTGGTTTATTTAGCCTTTTATAAGAAAAAAAAGTTTTTTTGTTTTTTTTTTCAGTCATATTTTCACCATGTCATTCACACATTTATAAATGTCGTAGTTCCAAACTAAATATTTAATTTACATGCTAAATATTTAATTTCTAAGTTAAACATTTAATTCCTAAACTAAATATTAAATTTGGTATCTAAATATTTAGCTCAAACCTAATTATCTATTTTCCAAACTAAACATTTAATTTCCAAAATAAATATTTAATTTGCTAACTAAATAGTTAGCTCGGATGTAAATATTTAACTTGCTAGCTAAATTGTTAGCTTGCTAGCTAAATATGCCTTAGCTTAGCTTGCAAGTTAAATGTTTAGGTCCATCTGAGTTAAATATTTAGTTAGCAAATTAAATATTTATATTGGAAATTAAATGTTTAGCTTGGAAAATAAATATTTAGGTTGAGCTAAATATTTAGTTAGTAAATTAAATGTTTATTTTAGGAATTAAATGTTTAGCGTAGAACTTAAATGTTTAGTTTGGAAATTAAATATTTAGCTTGGAGAATAAATATTTAGTTTGGAAATTAAATGTTCAGTTTTGAAAATAAATATTTAGCTTGGAAATTAAATATTTAATTTACACCTAAATATTTAATTTATTAACTAAATATTTAACTTAAGTATTTAGTTTGTAACTAAATATTTAGCTTGTAAATTAAAAATTTAGTTTGGAACTATGACATTTATAAATGTATGAATAATATGGTGAAAATATGACTATGAAAAAAGAAACTTTTTTTTATGAAAGGCTAAATAAACCAAAATATTGCTGTTAATTTTTGACTGTGTAACTTTACAATGGCACCCCATAGTTAATCACTGCATTTCATTACTCACCTGGAACAGAAGACGTTTATTTACTGGAATATGTCAAAGCATTTCCTTTTCTTCCTCCCCTCCTGCAGGGAATGACCCCCCTCATGTACGCCTGCGTCCGTGGCGACGAAGCTATGGTCCAGATGCTCCTGGACGCCGGCGCCGACATCAACAGCGAGGTCGGTGTCCATCAGACAGACTGTAGCTGTGTTTTAATGATTCCATCATTTGTCCCAGTTTAATGTCCCTCATTATGAAGCTCCCCCCTTCTGATCCCTGTCTGCTCCATCTCACCTGCTCTCAGCATGCTCTCCCGGCAGCTCGTTCCGTAGAGCGCACCGGTAGTAAACGAGGATTATTTGCTCATAACCAGCTTCTCTTTCCTCTGATACTGATAACAATGCACTGTTAGTCTCAGCGCTGACAGCCACTTCATTACACTTTGTTCTGCATGTGTCCAGCAGCACTTTGCTCTCCACTGCTGTTATTACCGGTGCACAAGCAGGTGCTCTTTGTGGAACTTGTTGCCAAAGACTGAGCTTTATGCTATCTGAAAATAAACTTGTGTAATCCTAAATTCTGTTTTTTTCTTAGCGGTGTTTGCTGTGAGTTGGTGCATGTGTCGCTGCTTTAATTTTTGGTTTATAAAGTAAAAACAAAACAAAAAAAGCTCATCCTTCCCCCTCACAGATGTGGTTGCTCCTCTGGTTTTGTGTCTGTGCTGACTTACAAACAAAACACTGATGGAAATCATTTGTGTGTTTATAGAATCGTAAAAATTCAGTTTCCCAATAAAGTTGTCCATAAAGTTAAGATATTTGAAGGGATGAGGAAAAATGAGTTCAGAAATGTTTATGTTTGCTTCTTTTCCTGTGAAATGCAGATTTATCCTCCCCCTAAAATAGTTCAAAACAAACCGCCTGAGGAGACAAGCTCACTGTGTTGATGTCTGCTACATCTGGGCCACGCTTCACCTCTTGAGTTCTCAGACAAATCGATTCCCTTCTTTTTTTTCTAAATTCCTTTACTTTAGAGAAGAAAAAAAAACAAATGCATTAATGCAAATGTATTTACAAGTATAAATACACATTGACAAAAAAGGCAAAGTCCCAAGAAGGAATGGTCCAATGTGGACAAAGTTCGGGCTCACGTGCAGACCAGCAGTGGGTCAAATGGTTTGATTTGTAAAGAGCTAGCACATCTGGGTGAAAGTTCTGATTGTCCAAGACAGGCCACACTTAGAGAGAATTGTCATATCTTCTTACAACACCCCATGTCATCCCATGCTGGGTCTGGACGATTGGCATCAGCCAGACCACAGGTTCACTGGTCTATGCACAGTCTGGCAATAACAGCAGAGTAAAGATGGTTTGTTTGGACTGGTGTCAAACTGAGAGGTATGGACTGATGACAGGTGGTGTCATGTTCAGCCAGTACCATGGATGACCATCGTACAAGCAGATGGTGACATCACAGGCAGAGGATCAATCCTAGTGATTATTGTGGTGAGCCACACCAGAAATTAGACACATGGCATCATAGACATCATAGAGCAAAATGGTGGATTGCTCTCTTCAGGTCGAGCGTGAGGTTCTGCCTCAAGTGGAGGAGTTCCAAGTATCTCGGGGTTTTGTTCACGAGTGAGGGAAGAATGGAGCGTGAGATTGACAGATGGACTGGTGCAGCGTCTGCGGTATTGCGAACTCTGTACCAATCCATTGTGGTGAAGAGGGAGCTGAGCCCTAAGGCAAAGCTCTTTGTTTACATGTTGGTCTACGTTCCTACCCTCACTTGTGGTCACAAACTCTGGGTAGTGGCTGAAAGAATGAGATGGTGGATACAGGCAGTTGAAATGAGTTTCCTCTGCAGGGTAGCTGGACTCTCCCTTAGAGATAGAAGTTCAATTATCCAGGAGAGACTCAGAGTAGAACCACTGCTCCTCCACATCGAGAGGAGCCAGTTGAGGTGGTGCGGGCATCTGGTAAGGATGCTCCCTGGGCGCCTTCCTAGGGAGGTTCTTTGGGCATGTCTGACTGGGAGGAGATTCTGGGGAAGACTCAGGACAGGCTGGAGAGACTACATCTCTCGGTTGGCCTGGAAACACCTTGGAGTCTTCCCAGAAAAGCTGGAAGAGGTGGCTGTGGAAAAAGATGTCTGGACCTCCTTGCTCAAGATGCTACCCCTGAGACCCGACTTCAGAACAAGCGGAAGATAATGGATGGATGGATGGATGGATGGATGGATGGACATCATAGAGCTATAGGGTATGACTTCAGGTCACTTGTGGGACTTTAACATCTTCCATATGTCTTACCCTTACTGAGACAGCACTCTTGCTGCAGGAGAGGATAAAATGACTGAATGACTCCGTTCTACGCTGAATCCCCTTTTGTATCCAGGCCTGAGGGGGTGACAAACCCACTTGACATGAGACCAGCAGTGAACCTGTACTACCACCTCTGTAAATAATTTGATCTGACTGTAACCACTGCTGTTCAGTCTCAAGACCTTTCGCCACTCTGGGTGCGTAACTTTTAAGCCAGTGAGGGTTTTTCAGAGCTCTGATCTCTTTGTAAGTTTGTTGAGCTGAGGCATTCAGTAACGTGAATCCTGATGCGTCATATTTACAGATGGAACACATTTGTCAAACTTCATTTGAGCAGACATTATCTTAGATTTTCTCATCAGACTGCCTGTGAATATAAAGTCATTAATAATTCATCACCGTAAACGAACAAATAAAACACTAACAGTCCCACTGGTGTGTAGCGCTGGAGCCCAAATGGAATGGGACTTTTTATTAAACATGCTCGTCCCTCTGGGCAACATACTGACATCATGTAGATAATTCACTCAGTTCAGCCAGTTTAATATGATTCCATCTCTGTTTTGTTTTTGAGTCAGCACCATAAAAACAAACAAAAAAAAAACCCTGCATGTTTGTGTTTGTAGTCGTTTGCTTGTTGGTTTCATTTTCACCTTCATAATGAAACTCCATGGAAAAGTGGAGCCAGGCAGATGCGGCACTCGGAAAGCCTCGTCCAGGCAGACGCAGAACTTGGCTTACAGAGAGGATTTGAGATGAGAGGAGGGATTAAAGCTGTGAAACTCAAGAGGAAAATCTCCCTCTGCCACCTTGCCCTCTTTCGCTTACACCTCTCCTCCTGCATACTGCTTCTCCTCCCTCTACCGCACCCCTACCCCACCCCTCCCTGAGCTCTGAATTAACGGCTGTGTATCTCTCTCCCTGAACTTCACCTATGACTTCCCAGGTGCCAAGCACAGTAAACAAGCACCCCTCAGTTTATCCTGAAACGCGCCAGGCGACGCCACTCACGTTCGCCGTGTTGCACGGACACGTCCCTATCGTGCAGGTAGTGACGCTTATGACCTGTAACCAGTAACCTCTGGCCCTTGCCCTCACCTTTGTACTAAAATGAGGATGATGATGATGATAGCTGTGGTGCATCATGATAATGATGCCAGGTGTCCTTTTATTTCTCCTTCCTTGGTCCTATCCGTGCAGTGATATTAGGAGGACTTAGTTTAATGAAGCCGGTTGTGAAGATGTGACCCTACTTTCTGTTTTCTGCTCTAAGTACGTCCTAACTCTCAGAGCTGAGCTAAACGGAGCGACTCAGCCAGCCTGATGCACAGCCTCGGGGATGCCAAGTGTCTCTTCACTCTTAATAAATCACAAGTTTCGTTGCACTGCAAATGCTGTTGCCTTTAGAATTTCTTCAATATTAATATTCATCACCACAATCAGAGTTTTGGCATCAGGAAATGAAATTCTTCCTCCTCAGCTCAACATCAGTAGTACTAATTAAGAAAATATAGCTAGAGTGTTTAGGAGTGTCTCTATGTTATGAGATCTCCAAGAGTCGAGTTTTTTGTTTTGCCAAGTCTAAACTTAACAGCCTATCTTTCCCTCACTTGTCTCCTCTGTGCTGTCTCGTCTCGTGTGTTTGCCCGTTCCATCGCTGCCGCAGTTGTTGCTGGATAATAGAGCCAATGTGGAGGGCGCCCTGCAGGATGGGGCGGAGAACTACACGGAGACGCCGCTTCAGCTCGCTGCTGCCGCAGGTAAATACAAAGCAAGCTGCACAAAGCTGGGAGGATGTGGGACGTGCACGTTTTGACACGCGCATTCTGAGTCTAAATGATGGCATGTTTGACTCTGGGCGCACCAGAGGATGCGCAGTCTGCTTTAATTATCTGATTGCTTCATTGCCTTCATTTACTCTCTTTGATCCAATCAAGGCAGAGAATTTAAAGCTGTTTTTGTCAATGTTGAAATGTTGTATGGAAAAACTTTCAGTTTGTTTTCATTGAGAGAAAAATGTCTCAAATAGCAGTCCAAAACTACTTATAACCTCTGCTACCATTGTGTAGGTCTTACACTGTACGTGGCATAAAATTATATTTAAAAAGGAAAGACATGTGTGAAAAACACAAGAGTGGATAATAATTACCTTGAAGCCACACATGAATAACAACAATTATAATTTTTGTTAATGCTGTTGACCTTCTCTATAGACCTTGAAGAGTCTCTCCTAGCTTGACATGCTAACATATTTCTTCTACCACAGACATATATACGTAGATGCCTCACTGAGTGCTGAATTGTACGTCGACTACGTATTCATGTCTATGGTCCTGCCACCGCCAGCGTTTATGTTAAGCTAACTAATTGCTAGCTCCGCACTTAAACATTCTGGTCAATTTCTTTTTCCAACAATTTTTGAATAATTGGAGTTCTTATCAAAGGAAGCATAACTTTCTACATGTTTTTATTGTTTTATTTATGTCACAAATCTTGCCATGTTTATTATTTAATCCGTCTTAAGCTGATACACAGCCATGTTTCGTGACCTTAGGAAGGTGTTGGCAGCCATGTTGCCATGGTAACAAGTGGTTTAAACTCAGCGCCACAGAAAATGAAAACATTTACCACCCTACTAATTAAAAAATTAATAATGCAGATGAAACGAAGACCAAAATCCCAGAGCTAATTTTGCTAATGAATAGCAATGAGTGAAAGACTTTCTGTGCAAACAAATTACTTGATGCATGCTCAGATTTCAAATGAGACTCCTGCCTTTTCTACTTTGCTTTAACATTACAAATAAAAAAAAACTGTAAACAATAAGCAGCACATGCTTTCAGGAATAAAAGGTTATAATCAATCTCTTTTTAAAACTAAAGGAAAAAATGTTCTTTTTTTTGTTTTTTTTGTTTTTTACAGTGTTAAGTTAGTTCTTAAGAGAAATTCATAAAACTGAAAATGTTTTTTATACGACTGTTTTGCATAATGGAAGCCACTGTCTGCCTCCGAAGCTAAAAATGCTATAGATGCTTTTAAAATGTCCAGAATAAGTGGGGAAAATACTTTTAGGAAACAGAAACCGGGTAGTATTTTGTGTTTGTACTGCAATTATGACCAAAGAAAGAGCTCACATTTTACAGACGTATCATACTCAGATTACTTTATAAGAACTGATCAATCTTTTAATGATACAGAGTAACAAAGCAGCATTAAACTACTATATTTATTTTTGTTTTGCCCTCATGTTTGAACATTTTAATCCTCCTTAGGTAACTTTGAGCTGGTGAGCTTGCTTTTGGAAAGAGGAGCCGACCCCATGATCGGGACGATGTGCCGAAATGGCATTTCCTCTGCCCCGCTGGGAGACATGAACTCGTTCAGCCTGGCAGCATCGCACGGACACAGGTGATACCAGCAATCACACACACGAGTGCCCATCACTGTAAATCCACCCACCACCACAGTATCGATTCGTTATCACGTACTGCCCCGCTCCATCTGCTCCTCACTAAACCTTGCAGTGCTGAAGATGTCTGCACTCACGACTTCGGTGCAGAGGAATAAGATAAAGCACATCAACATCCAGGGCGCTGGGGAAATGGAGTGGAGCGAGGGGCGACGGCAGCACAAAGCAGCATTATTAGGACAATCAATTATAGAGCAGTGATCATGCTGTAGTGTGTTTGGAGCAAGTTTAAACTGAATTAGGACTGAATGAGACGAACCCTGTAAATGATCCCAACTTGACTCTTTTTTTTTAAACAAAATCTCAGCTCTACAAAGCACTTTACAACTTTTATCCTCTTTCTAGTACTTTTCAAGGTCTGGGTAAACATCTACTAAAAACGAGGCAATTATATATATATATATACTTATATCTAGATAGATAGATGGATGGATGCAACTACTTTAAATCTTTAGATGTCTTGTCTATTTGGACATAATAAAATAAATAAAATGCTGCTTTATAAACTTTTAATGCAATTTGTTTTGCATTGCAGGGTTATTCTCACCAGAAGTGCCATAACTAGCTGCTACTGCTATGTATACTTTCATTAAACAGCTTTCAACTTTATTTTATTTCTTAATGGTAGTTATTTTAATTTTAAGGTGAGACCCTTCCACTGTGACCTCAGACTAACTGACATCACCTGTTAGGTCAGAATTAAAGTCCATTTCTCCAAACTGAGCTCGTCCAAAGAGCTATCTACAGCAGGTAAGATGTTAATTGTTCATGGCCATTCCACAGAAGCCCACCGAACAAGATCTGAACTGTCTTAAGATTAAATGTAAATATTGCTGAACGTGGGTGGATCCGTGTGCAGAGCCTTCTCCATTGAACAGTTTACCATTTTGGATTTCAGTATTTAAATGCAAAAAAAAGAATTGCCGCCTTTGTACTAATACTTGCAGTAGGAAACATCCACAGCAGAGGAACTGAGAGCAAACAGACTCAAACAACACAAAAAAAGTGCTATTTACAGTAATGAGACGCTGGGAGGATCTGCAAAGGAGGGAGATGGGTAAGTATGGGTTCCAACTAATATAGTTGGTAGATTTGTAGTAATTAAATTTCTTCTTACAGGTTCTTTGTGGTCTGGCAGCGTAGAGAGGAGGGTGGGATATTCCAGATATGTATGGTGGCGGAGATGGAGGTAATGAGGGAAGTATTAATCTGGTTCCGTAGTGGATCTATAGATAGTCAGGTGAGCAGCAGGACGGGCGTAGGCTGAATGCAAGTGGCACCAGTAGTTCCAGGATTAAACCCAACTAGGAGGCACAAAGGAAAACAGGTAAGTCCAGGGTAAGACCTGCAGGAGACAGGACTGTGAGGACACAGAGAGAGCTGGTGAGTCTAAATATTTAAGTGCAAGAATCACAAGAAGGCTGTCACAATACAGGTTAGTGTCCAATGTTCCAGCAGAGAAGAGATCATCTCAGTGGTCCCTGGAGCTCAGTACTGGAATTAGCCACAGCTGCTGCTCACTGGCACCGCTCTGCCACTCAGGAAGCTGCAGGAGGAAAAACACAGGATTTCCACTGTACTAAGTTTAGCCAGAAGTAATTCCTCTCCTCTAACACTCCAAAGAAAACAAAAGGTTTCAATTTAATATATATATAAATATATATAATTTATTTTTTAAAGAACAGGTGATGTGATGCACATGCAGGGAATTAAAGACAAAAAGTACAGTAGTAAAAAGGGAGAAATCTTGACATCAACAAACAACTAAAAAAAAATATGCAACTCTGAAATGTGGGTATGCACTTAATGTAAACAAATCACTCGCCTGAATCTGATGAAAACAAAGAGGAAGCTTGAGTCACGTGACTGCCCTACGTTACGCTGGTTGTAGCCTGTATACTGCAGAATCAGACGAGCTCACTCAAACTAATTTGTCTCGTTGATTTCATTTTACAGGAAAATTGGTCAAATACACCTCATTTTCCAGTTTGCTTTAATTCAGATATTTTTATCTATATCCGCCTTCTTTACTTAACAAACCTGAGCATAAATATCATCCAACACTTCTCCTACTTCCCAAACAACTTTTCCATGGATGTCTTCATTGGTGGCCTGTTTTCAGTCACTTCAGCTGTTTGTATACTGTATGTACACAAACACCCTTCAGCTGTTTCTGTATGTAAACAAACACTTCAGCTGTTTCTGTATGTAAACAAACACACTTCAGCTGCTTCAATAGGCAAACAAACACACCAGCTGTTTCTGTAGGTAAACAAACATATGTCAGTTTTTCTGTATGTTAACAAACACACTTCAGCTGTTTCTGTATGTAAACAAACAGTTTTTCTGTATGTTAACAAACCCACTTAAGCTGTTTCTTTATGTAAACAAACATATGTCAGCTGTTTCTGTAGGTAAACAAACACACTTCAGCTGTTTCTGTATGTAAGCAAACACACTTCAGCTGTTTCTGTATGCAAACACACTTAAGCTGTTTCTGTATGTATACAAACACACTTCAGCTGTTTCTGTATGTAAACAAACACACTTAAGCTGTTTCTGTATGTAAGCAAACACACTTCAGCTGTTTCTGTATGTAAACAAACATATGTCAGCTGTTTCTGTAAACAAACACACTTCAGCTGTTTCTGTAAACAAACACACTTCAGCTGTTTCTGTAGGTAAACAAACACACTTCAGCTGTTTCTATTGGTAAATAAACACTTGTTAGCTGGCAGATGCTCACACTCTTTGCTTACAAATATTTTTAAGGATACCAGTAACCGTCAATATGAGAAAAAAATGAGCAGCTTTTGTTTTTTACTTTTATATTTTGTTAAATGCAAGAATGTAGGTGCGTGCGCACGTGTGTGTGCGTGTTTCTATATTTTTTTGTATATATTGTGTTGTTGTGTTTTATTATTTGTAAACATATTTCAAAGCACTTTTTGATTTGTAATGTTTTATTAATAATATATGTTTTTATTTATTTAAAATGTATTTATTTATACTGTATATAGGCTACATAGAATTTTTAGAAAATGTAATGAATTATTATTGGCACCTTTTTTTCACATATGTTTTTATAGCTCTGGGTTTTGTTTTGTTTGGGTACTTTTTTGTTTTGTACAGTATTCTGCTGTGTTTTGTTTTTTTCTGCCTTTTATAATCTTATCTATCTTTTTGCTTGAAACGTTATTGTCTTTGCTTTTTTTATTTTCTGAAATCAGACATTTAAATTCTCAAAAATCTTGTCGCTTTTGTTTGTTTGTTTGTTCCAGCTGTGCACCCAAGAGCTCCTAAATAAACATTATATCTAAACATAAATTCCTAAATTATGAATAATTTTCTGTTGTAACCCATTCAGAGGTTTTCTTCCTGAATTGTTGACTCCCAGTAAGTTTTATCTTTCACGGCATTCTGCATCCTTTTAATACTCCACCTGTTACTTTTTCAGGAATGTCTTTCGGAAGCTTCTGTCCCACTCGGAGAAGGACAAGGGGGACGTGTTGTCCCTGGAGGAGATGTTGGCCGAGGGTTCAGAGCCCGGGGAGAAGAGACCGGCTCCTCAGGCCAACTGTGGCGGGACGCTGCGAACAGGAAAGGCCAGACTGAGGGCCCTGAGAGAGGCCATGTACCATAGCGCAGAGCATGGCCATGTGGACATCACCATTGACATCCGCAGCTTAGGTCAGACTTTCTAATGCATGCCTCAGTGGCACACCTGCCTCGCTCTGTGGTGCCTCCAGCTGTCCTGCAGATGTGCTCATGCTGTGCCTGTCCTGTCCCCACCCTCAACTCATCCAAGCATGAAACAGAAACAGGACTCAGAGGTCCGTTAGTTCCGATGTAGCTTTAATCTTAATCTCAGCCAATTAGATTTAATCATTTTAAACAACAAAATGTCTGAATCTGTTTAGTCCGTGTCACACTATATTATTTATAATGTAGGAAATAATCTCATTAAGTCAGCTGATAATCTGATCTATAAACAATAAATCTGAGATGATTTAGTCCCAGCTCCTCCGAAGCTCACTGATGAACACATTACTAAACATACCACGTGTTAAACATGTAGTCTATAATATGTTGTGAGATTTAAAGAGATAAAGAGAGCCCAACTAAACAGATTGTGCAAAATATTATACAGTCCTGTGCACAAGTCTTCAATCATCACCAATAGTTTTATACTTCATTTCCAGGAGGAGATTTTTTTTATGTTGTTTTGGCTTCTTGAAGATTCATTCAACCTTTATTTATACAGGTTAGTCTCAAAGAGTCACGAGGACTCATTTTCAAGAGAGACCTGTTTTAGACAAAACCACAGATGAGGTACACACAATAAACAGCTATAAAATGCATATAAAATAAAAAGTAAATAAAAGTAGTGTTATAAAACAAAATAAAATCAAGCTACATTATGAAACCAGGCAAAATACTAAAAACAAACATGCCTGTATTGATTTTTGCATTGAACTTATTTGTTAATCCCTTAAGAGAGGTCAAAGTTGACAACTTCAGATCTTGTTGCAAGGTGTTCGAGGATACAGGAGCAGAGTAGTAATTCAGTCCATACTGAGGGGACGCTGCAGGTAATGATGTCCTGAGAGCGCACGCTGTAACTGCACTGATAACGTGACTTGTAGGGGAAGATGTATGAAGGCAACAGACCAAGAAGTGATTTAAAGATGAAAATGTACCAGTGAGAGAGTCTGAAGCTAGTGATGACCAGTTAACCAGTGAATACAGGGTGCAATGGTGGGTACGTTAGTTACAGCCAGTTATGAATCTTAGCACACCGTGATAGACAGTGTCCAACATCTGCAGGGTGATTGCAGGAGCATTCATGTAAATAATGTCACCATAGTCACTGGAGGGAATGGCAGTAGCAGCGACAAGGCGTTTCCTAGCTTTATTAAACAAGGTCTATTTCTGAAAAAGAAACCCAGTTTTACTTTCAATTTCTGTGTCAAGTTTTGGACATGCGGCTTAAAAAAGAGTTGTGCATCGACCAATATACCAAAGTATTTGTAAGAATCGACAAACTCAATAGGAGCACCATTCGAAGATCAAATAGAAGGAAGCTGGAACCAACTTCCTGTTTGAAAACAACATCCCTTTGGTTTTATCAGCGTTTAGCACCAGTTTGAGACGGAACAAATCTGACTGGATGGTGTCGAATGCAGACTATAAGAGCTGAAAAACCTTAACAACTGATTTAGTTCATCAATAATCAACTGTATCGTCAGCATAGAAATGCAAGAATGCATCAGGAATATACCTACATTTTTTTTTTTTTTTTTAGGAATATACCTACATTACTTATGTAGATTGTAAAGAGAGTGGGTCCTAAGACTGAGCCTTGTGGTACACCATTATTGACAGTTATGGTAAACAGCTGGAAGAAGCACCATTGTGTTGAACACATTGCCTCTAATCTGAGAGATAATTAGAAAACCAAATGATAACCAAAAGATCAAATACTTTTATTAAAATCTTCCAGTTGATCCAAACCACTCTGGTTCAGTTTTATCAAAGCAGATCCAGACCCTGATACTACCACCACCATGCTTAACACATGAACCAGGAGGAGGTGTTATTTTTTGCAGCTTTCTGTCTGGGTTGATGGTGGATTCAAAACACTGAAAGTTTAAATACTTTCACCATTTGCACCTTCACATTTTAACTCCTTTTCAAGTAGCTACATAACAGTTGCTGTGTTTAATAACAAGGTTATTTTTATCAGATCATTTAGATTTATGCCAAATAATAGAAGCACCACGGAAAGTCTTTCCAAACTGTCTAACAAACGAGTTTTATGATGAGGTTATTTTGTTAGTAATTTAATTTAAAGCAAGTCTCCTTTGTGTCATAAAGTATTAAGAAATTAGTAAATTTAGTTTTATTTATCCCAAAAACAATATAATGAATACAAGTGAATAAGTCAAATCTGAGTAATGAAGTTAAAATGTTGAGTTGCGATGAGTTTTCCATAAAAAAACACTTTTTCAGCTGAAGCATCATCTGTCATGCTGTGATTTCTGCTTTTTCATCTCCATCAATCATTGGAAGTCCATTTTAAGTGTTTTTTCACAAACTTCAGCTGCTGTTTTGTTTATCCACCACTAACCCAACCATCATGCAGCCGCTCCTCAGCTCGCAGTAACACCGCAAAGTGATGACAACATGGTCGGTTCTGTGGTCTGTCAATCTGCTCGCGCTCTTTGTGCTCCAGCTTGCATATTTACTGTCGGCGCGGTTGTGTTTCCCAGGTGTTCCCTGGACGCTGCACACCTGGCTCGAGTCCCTGCGCACCTGCTTCCTCCAGAATCGCCGGCCGCTGATCCAGGGTCTGCTCAAAGACTTCAGCTGCATCCAGGAGGAGGAGTACACGGAGGAGCTGATCACGCACGGCCTGCCGCTCATGTTCCAGATCCTCCGCTCCAGCAAGGTCCATCAGCCAGATGAGCTCAGTTCGTCTGGGAACACAAACTGTTTCTAGTTTGTGACGTTAATGCTCATATTTGCATAAATTAACCACAGTCTAAACTGCATTATCATTCATTTGCATAGCGCTTTTCCACAAACTGAGGGAAAACAAAACTCTAACGCGTGCAAACGTGGTTCTCACTGGTGCTGCTGTGTGTTTGCAGAACGAGGTGATCAGCCAGCAGCTGTCAGTCATTTTCACACAGTGCTACGGGCCTTTCCCAATCCCAAAGCTGACAGAAATCAAGAAGAAACAGACCTCACGCTTGGGTACGACCACATTTGTTTAATTTTTCTGTCCAAAATGAAGCTGAAAGTGTTTTGATTTTAAGGGAGATGGGCTGTTTTCAGGTCAGAAGTTATATTTTTAGGTAATTTAATACATAAATTCTTTCCATAATGTTGTACGAATCTAAAATCGTCATTCGGGGCTTCAAAAAGGTGTAGTTTCAGGAATACAGTAGACCCTCATTTAGCGTGGGGTTTAGGGACCACCACAACCCCCCTCCCATGCATTTTAAACCCTTCCCACCCTCTTGCAATATTCTAAACAATGTTTCCAAACTGTAAACGCTCTAAAAGAGCACAGAATGTCATGATTTCAGCTCCCTGCCTCCTCTGCTCCCAGCCACCTGCAAGTGCTCTTGGCCACGCCCACTTCTCCGCTCTGCACGGTGAACAGCTGATCAGCTGCAGCAGGAAGTTTATCCTGCAGTGTGGGCTGCATAAAGGTGCAGCAGGTGCTAAATAATTAATCTTAAATAAAAAATCCATGCCTATTGTGCGACTCACACTTCAAGCAGCCATTTGTATTTCATGTCCAATCTTACTTTGAAAAACTGCAATAGAGCGAGTCTACGATAAATGAACCGTGAAGTAGCGAGGGACTACTGTAGTAGTATAAATAGTATATATACAGGTGTGTGTGTGTGTGTGTGTGTATATGTGTATGTATATATATATATATATATATATATATATATATATATATATATATATGCATTTTAAACCCTTCTCACACTCTTGCAATATTCTAAACAATGTTTCTAAACTGTACACGCTCTAAAAGAGCACAGTATTTCATGACCTCTGCTCTCTGCCACCTGCAGCTCTCCCAGCTTCCCCACTGCAGTCACACTCATCACCTCCCAATCTCCCTTCTTCTGTGTAAATAAACGATTTAAATTTAAATACTGTAATATTTTAAATAAACGATCCATGAATTGCTTATTTAAAAATATTTCAGTATTTAAATTTAAATTGTAGAGAAGTGAAGCGCAGCAGGACATCAAAGGGTTAACCCTTCATGCAGCTCTGCAGCACGGAGCAGAAATGTACTTCTTGATCAGTTACACTGTAACAACTGAACATAGAAGTTCTAAAATAATTAAAGAACTTTTAACGCTTTTATATTTTGTGATTATGACGATTTTACGATGTGACATACATTGAATTTCAAGTTGGAAGACAAAAGTCAATTGCTGGACAGCAAAGGGTTAACCCTTCACGAATCTGCTGCAGCATGGAGGAGAAATGTGGGCGTGGCAGAGAGCCGCAGGTGGCAGAGAGCGGAGATCATGACAGGCTGCAGGAGGGAGCTTCTCCCTGCATCTAATGATTTAACAGGTGTTAAATCATTTAAATAATTTATTTTAAATAAACAATCCATGCCGCTCGTGCAGCTCATCAATCAATCAGTCAATTATGTGTCTTGTCCAATCTTACTTTGAAAAACCGCCAAAGAGCGAGTCCGCGAAAGTCAAACTGTGAAGTAACGAGGTACTTCCGATTTAGACACAATTGAAGATATTTTATTCCTGTTTTTAACAGGAAACAAATATTTCATCACATTTAGGAAACATTATAATTAAATACAGAAAGGAAATTTGATAAATAAATCAAATTGGTTGGAAAATTTTACAAAATTATCAATACAATAAAATAAATATATGTATATGTTTATCTTTTCAGATTAAATTCAGGTTTTAACAAGTAATTACAGTATATCACTCTTGTTTCTTATTAATACCGTTTTTATTATTTCTCTACAAGCATCTTCACTAATTTTCCACTTCACTGTAACCTAAACAAACTAAATATGAATCATTTTAAATGATCCTTCTAATTGCCTGACTCCTAACTGGATCAGATCTGCAGTTATTCGGTGAATTAGTATGAATTATTCCTGGAAATTAACTTGGAGGTAAACTATAATTAAACGTGATGAAGCAGTGAAGGAGCCGTGAGTGTGCTGCAGCACCACCTACTGCTTTTTAACAACAGAGGAAGAATATGGTCAGAAATTATTCATCTTTTTTGCATTTTATGCTTTAAAAGTTAAATATTTTAGCAGGAAATTAGAGTATGTAGCTATTAAGATGCTTTAAAGACTAAAATTATAATAAAAATGGAACAGGAATTGTTTGGATTATTTAGAGTTGATAGTTTGGTGTACATGTTAACTCAAGTTTTCTGATCTGGTTTTCTCAGACCCCCACTTCCTGAACAACAAAGAGATGTCTGATGTCACCTTCCTGGTGGAGGGAAAACCCTTTTATGCACATAAAGTTTTGCTGTTTACAGCTTCAACCAGGTAACAAGGGAACACTTGCAGAAATGTGTTGGAACGCATTTAATGTTACAGCTAAATAAAACGTTGCTCCTTTGTGTGATTCAGGTTCAAGTCTCTGCTCCAAAACAGGCCAGCAGCAGAAAACACCTGCATCGAGATCAGCCATGTCAAGTATAATATTTTTCATGTAAGTTTTATGTTTCCATTTATTCCAGACCAAAAAAAAAACTTATTTTTGTTTTGTTTTGCCTGTCTTTATTCAAGCTTGAAACACACTGTAGCATTCCCTCCTTCCAGGACTGCTAGGCTTTTATTTTGGTGATTTTCTTTTTACTGATTTAGGCTTAAACAAACTATTCATTTGACTAAATCGCAGAACAACTGCAGCTGTTTTCTTCCATTTTTTTTTTCTTGTTAACAGAATTAAACAGCTGCTCTTGCACCTGTGCAAATACAATATATTATAACATATTTAAAAGTATAAACGAGTTTGAAAAATACATACTGTATAAAGCTATTTATGCAGCTGTAATAAAATAAACTAGAAAGTTCCTGGAGAAACTTAGATGAGGACTGCCGTGTGATGACCAGTTTCGAGTTACGTATTATGTTTTGAATGAGAAATGTGGCGTCTTTGTAAATTACGTTGCCATGGTAAATTGAAACATCGATAAAAGTAACAGCGCACATCACATTCCTGGGGCAGTCGTTTTGATATAACATTTGCAGTGGTACACTTTGCGGCTCAGGCTGCATTACAGTTGACAGAAGAGTAAGAAATAAAGTTAAGAAACCCTTGTCAGGTGGATAATGATAGGTGGCTGCCATTCTACAGTACTGTAGAATCTGGCAGTCCCCAATAAAAGTTGTTCCTATATATAGTTGTTCCATATAAAGACCCTTTCCAAAAAATTAGAATATCATGGAAAAGTTGTTTAACTTCCATAATTCCATTCAAAAGTTAATCTTTAATAGATGATAGATTCAGGGCCCACAATTTAAACGATTTCAAGTATTTATTTGTTTATTTTTACATAATTTGGTCTTCCAGCTCATGAAACCCACAAAAACAGGATTTTAAAAAATTAGAATACTGTGGAGAAATCAGCCAAAATGTTGCAGGACATGAATGTTTTAAACTGAGTGTGACACTAATCATCTACTAAACTCAGAGCACTTGCACAGGTTTCCCCAGGTGTCATTAAATTGCTTCAGTTCGGTTCAATATGGGGAAGACTGCGGATACAGTGCCTTGCGAAAGTATTCGGCCCCCTTGAACTTTTCAACCTTTTGCCACATTTCAGGCTTCAAACATAAAGATATACAATTTTAATTTTTGTGAAGAATCAACAAGTGAGACACAATCGTGAAGTGGAATGAAATTTATTGGACGTGTCAAACTTTTTTAACAAATAAAAAACTGAAAAGTGGGGCATGTAATATTATTGGGCCCCTTTACTTTCAGTGCAGCAAACTCACTCCAGAAGTTCAGTGAGTATCTATGAATGATCCAATGTTGTCCCAAATGACTGATGATGATAAATAGAATCCACCTGTGTGTAATCAAGTCTCCGTATAAATGCACCTGTTCTGTGATAGTCTCAGGGTTCTGTTCAAAGCGCAGAGAGCATCATGAAGACCAAGGAACACACCAGGCAGGTCCGAGATACTGTTGTGGAGAAGTTTAAAGCCGGATTTGGATACAAAAAGATTTCCCAAGCTTTAAACATCCCAAGGAGCACTGTGCAAGCAATCGCATTGAAATGGAAGGAGTATCAGACCACTGCAAATCTACCAAGACCCGGCCGTCCCTCTAAACTTTCATCTGGAACAAGGAGAAAACTGATCAGAGATGCAGCCAAGAGGCCCATGCTCACTCTGGATGAACTGCAGAGATCTACAGCTGAGGTGGGAGAGTCTGTCCATAGGACAACAATCAGTTGTACACTGCACAAATCTGGCCTTTATGGAAGAGTGGCAAGAAGAAAGCCATTTCTCAAAGATATCCATAAAAAGTGTTGTTTAAAGTTTGACACAAGCACCTGGGAGACACACCAAACATGTGGAAGAAGGTGCTCTGGTCACATGAAACCAAAATCCAACTGTTTGGCCACAATGCAAAACGACAGCTCATCACCCTGAACATACCATCCCCACTGTCAAACATAGTGGTGGCAGCATCATGGTTTGGGCCTGCTTTTTGTCAGCAGGGACAGGGAAGATGGTCAGAATTGATGGGAAGATGGATGGGGCCAAATACAGGACCATTCTGGAAGAAAACCTGTTTGAATCTGCAAGAGACCTGAGACTGGGACGGAGATTTATCTTCCAACAAGACAATGATCCAAAACATAAAGACAAATCTACAATGGAATGGTTCACAAATAAACTTATCCAGGTGTTGGAATGGCCAAGTCAAAGTCCAGACCTGAATCCAATCGAGAATCTGTGGAAAGAGCTGAAGACTGCTGTTCACAAACGCTCTCCATCCAACCTCACTGAGCTCGAGCTGTTTAGCAAGAAAGAATGGGCAGAATTTCAGTGTCTCCATGTGCAAAACTGATAGAGACATACCCCAAGAGACTTGCAGCTGGAACTGCAGCAAAAGGCGGCGCTACAAAGTATTAACGCAAGGGGGCCCAATAATACTGCTTTCGTGGTATTTCTTGTGATGCTTATTTTATGTGTTGTGAATGACTCTCAGCTACTACCACGCCAAATTTTAGGTCAATATCTGTAAAACTGACTGATTTATAGTCATTTTTGTGTTTGCTGAGATCACTTTGCTGTGGTGGCCATCTTGACTCAAACCAACTCCAAAAGTTAATGAGCTGTGGTTCATTCTGTGATTACATTCTGAGAGTTTTGTGCAATGATTCATCAGATATTTTGCTAACAGACAAACCAAAACACGCATAGGCACATGTAAAAATATTACCCCTTCACCTCAGCGTTCAGACGCGAGTCTACGTTTTAGCTTTTTTTTCCCCAGACTAAATTAAAGTGCTGCTTTCGGGGGTTTTTTACCGTTAGATAAAAACTTTTAAAGAGACTTGAAACCGTTGCCTCCACTACACTGACGCCTGTTGCTGTGTGTTCCAGCTGGTCATGCAGTATTTGTACTGTGGCGGCACCGAGTCCCTGCACATACGCAACACCGAGGTGATGGAGGTAAGAGGAAACGGACGCCTGCGTTCGCTGATGTCACTTCCTGTGCCTCATCGTGTCCATCTGTACTGTTCCCTTCCTGCAGCTCCTGTCTGCAGCCAAGTTCTTCCAACTAGAGGCCCTTCAGAGACACTGTGAGATCATCTGCACCAAGAACATCACCACCGACACCTGCGTGGACCTTTACAAACACGCCAAGGTGAGGACGTGCTCGTGCAAACCATTTTCCAGTTAAAGGAAACGGGTGCAAACTCAAAAGTGGAGGGTTTTTTTTAAGTCAAAGTTTATGGAAGAGCATGAACAGAAGCTGTGGATAGTCCATCAGCTGTGATGTTATGTTGCCATGGTGATGAGGATTCAGCATCGTATGAGACTGAGGCTGAAGCTTTAATAAAGTCCAGCTCTGAACTACTAACTCAGTTTGAAATCTAAATCTCCAGACTACAAGCAGAAACTAAAACAAATCTGAAACACCCGAGCCGTGCCAGCAGGGAGCAGAGTCGTCATCGCCCACTGCAACACGCTCAGTCTGAGCGGTTTACTAAAGGCATCATATGGTAGTAGATGAGAATCATTCACAACACGTACTGTGAGCACGAGCCCTCTCATCAGTGTGTGAGACTTTCTGTGTTACTTTAAAGATTTAACGTAATGCTAAGCCTATAAATTCTTTGACATCGTTCATCATTTTCTATCAGTTTTTAATCTTTTTTTTACCGCTCAATCAAAGTTTAACGAGAAAAAAAAAAAAAACTTGTGAGATGCAGAAAACTAAAAAAAGCTGAGTTTTGTTGTGGTTTATAGCGTACAAACTCAAAGTCCTTCATACAAGAATTTTCCAAAATTCTTCATGAGGAAGTTTGTAAACTCAATCATCCAGGTAGATAACAACATAAAAGGTTAAATCGTGTCATCTGGACCAGTTTCTTTAAGTGAGAAACGTTTCACCCCCGATCCAGAGGAATTCCTCAGTTTACGGTCTGCCAACCAGATCCGTCCCATAGGTAGCCTTCATTGCTGTCCTCCTGTTGAAATCTCAGAATTAGGCTTTTAAATAGGGATGCACAATATTATCGGCATGGTATTGGTATCGCCAATATTAGCAATAAAGTTAAACATCGGCCATAACATCAAAATAACGCATCGATATAAAAGGTGCTGTGTTTATATACGCCATATATATGTGTGTGTGTGTGTGTGTGATGCTGTTTTTATATGACTGTTTGAGTGTTGTCATTGTATTAGAGAGAGTAAATGTCATGAATGAATTTGACAATAAACATAATCCAAGTTGAAGTGTTACATCATTTTCAGTCCCCTTTTTGGCATCTGCATTTGGTAGCAGGCCAAACTGAACAAGACCATGCAGAACAATGTAGTATTTTAATTACACAGCAAAGAAAGTGGTGTAGTATCTGTAAGTAGGTCTAAGGAAAAAAGTATCGGTATCGGTTATAAGCAAAATAAGTTTTAACATATTGGCATATCGAATATCGGCCAAAAATCCGATATTATGCATCCCTACTTTTAACAGACGCAAACAGGGCCCATCCGTCCAAAACTATCAATCATCATGTACAACAATCAAATGTTTTAGGCCAGATGGCAGACTTGCTACTCACAGAAACAGCCTGAGGACACCAAGGCCAAAGTGGTTCAGCAAAAGGTTTGTAAGCTCAATCGTACCTGTTTGCATGTGTTAAGAACATACTTCTGAGATTCCAACAGGAGGTTGGCTTGAAACTCAGCAGTGAAGGCTGCCTATGGGACAGATCTGGTCTGCAGGCTGCAGACTGAGGAAGTCCTCAGGATGGGGAATGAAACATTCCTCACTTAAAGGAACTGATCCAGATGAAGTGATTTAACCTTTTTTGTTGTCACTTCAGGAAGTGTTTATCATTTGGATCGCAGATTAGCGTTTCGTGACTCGTGTTTCCATTTCTTTTCTTGACCCAGTTCCTTGGTGCCTCGGAGCTCACGGCTTTTATCGAGGGCTACTTCCTGAAGAACATGGTGCTGCTCGTCGAACTGGACGGCTTCAAGCAGCTTCTGTACGAACCTCCCCCCGCCGAGAGCCCCGCCTCCAGTCCCGGCATCTGCTCCGACATCCTCCAAGAGCTGGAGAAGACGCTGGCCACCCGCATCCACTCCATCCACCTCTCCGCCTCCAAGGGCTCCGTGGTGTGACACCGTCCCCGCCCCACCTCCCCACCCGGAGCCCTCGGGTCCAGCCGCAGCGTCTATGTAACATCACTTTTAGCAAACATCATCCTGCTGCACAAACCCACCTGTTCTGACCCCACTGGTGAAACATGAGGCTTTTATAGCAGGAATTCCCTTTAATTCTGCTTCATGCTGGTTTTTAAATGATGAAAACTTTTTTTCTTTTTGGTCTTAAACTCCCGTCCTGGTCACTTCGCATTCCGTACGACAAGAAAAACACTGGACCATAAACCACATGCATGAAATCCTGGTTTTCACTCTCAAATTAGAATTTCAACTCAATCGATGCAGCTTTGACGTCCTCTTTGGTTTCTAGATAATCCTCCAAGTGGCTGCAGCAGCAGCACGTTAGGCGAACCGCAGGCCTGAATTTAACCTCCAAGCCGTCAAAGTGATCCGTAGCAAAGCCAGGAGGCAGACTCTTTTAGGTGGACTCGTGTACGTTTCCTTCTGTCCGTTTTGTGCCGGACACATCTCACTGTGTTACCGCCTGCCGCGCGCAGAAACCAAACTGATCACAGGAACTTCCACCGAGGCCGCCGCTGCAGAGCTGAGTCGAACGAACACGGCCCAGTCAGAGAAATCTATGCCGACCCACCCCTGAAACATGGACGTCCAACTGGGAAATTCAATTATCGCTCTTTATTTTTTACATTTTTGCATGACACCTCTTCAACTGAGCTGCCTTTTTTTTTTTTTTTTTTAATTCATGCACAATTCTTGGACCATGTTTTGCAACAGCAAGTAAAGAAAAATCGCTGCTTAACTTTTAATCTGCTGCAGATCGAAGCAGGATGAAGCAAAGTGTAAATATCACTTGAAAGTCGTCATAATGGTCGTTTCCTTTTTACTTCTTCTTCTTTTTTTTTTTTGGTAAACTGATATCTACAGTAAATCCTCCCACACTCGCTTGGCTGACAGTACTGAACGCACTCCCTGCTGTGTGTCCCGTTTATGCAAAGTGGCATGTTTAGTCCGTTTGTGCGAGACCTGTGTTTTGCTTTAGGCCCGCTTTTTGTGTGCAGCTGAGATTGAGCCAATCGAGGGGGGGTTTTACCTCGAATTATTCGCTCTCTCTGAAACTCCAAAGGATCAGCGATGCATGATGATTTTCAAATGAATACCTGCACAGTGTCAGCACTGAGTTTAATACAGACCCCATTTACACCTGTAATCTGTATGCTAACACATAATCTGTGCACTTTACCACAGCGATTTCATCTATTAAGAAAAGCCTGTTATCACCTGTAATTTGATCCAATGAGAGGATGAAGATTGGCCGACTTGTAAACAAACATTTTGGCACTTGATGGCTTTAACATTGGCGGCGAAGAACCGCTGTGGTTAACGTTTGCTAGCATTTTCTTTAAATCGTTGACAGCTGGCTAACAAATTGGACAAGCTGGTCAAAAAAACTTGTTGAAAATGTTTGTTAGCGTACGTCTGTAGTGATGTACATGAGGTACGTGTCACTTGTTGTATGACAAATATATGAATTATATATGCATACAATATTCACGAGTTCTTCATTTTTCTGACTGTAAATGCCGTGCATTGAATTTAACAGAAATGTGAACGAGAGACGTTATTTATCTTTGACCCATCAAATGAATGGAATCATTTATTTTCAAAATCAAAGTTTAACATCAAACATTTACATTAATTTGGCAAAATATGAAAATAATAACAGACAGTTTCACAGAAAATGAACTTCAAATCACTCGGCGGTGATTTGAGGACTTTGCTTCAGACATTTCTAAAAATATCTGTACTGTTTTATGAGAGAGAGGTGAGTTTAAGAGTAAATTGAGATTTATCTTACAGAGGCATATGTGAGGGAGATTTAATCTGTTTAACCAGAAGTTGCACGCTCCGTCCGATCTCAGCTTCTCACGGTACACTTGGTCAAAATAGAACCATCTACCTGTTGACGATGAATCAGCGTTGGATGTAGTTCCTTTCTGACTCGTTTCAGCGTCTCCGTCGAGAGCTACCAAACCTTCAGAAAGTCGTGCGTTGATTAGCTCAAAACAGAATTATAATCCCAAACGTTCCTGGTTCTTCATAACTCCAAACTCTTCATAACCGGTTGCACTCTCAATCTGCTCATTCTGTTGGACTATCGGACCTATTGTCAGCTCCCAATCCAACATCTCTCAGAACTCTCAATCTCTTGGAATTCTGGAATCCATAATTCTCTATTCCTTCTCTTCTCTATTCTATGAACTGAGAAGTTGCCACATTTTATTTGGGTCGACTTCCTGTTCAATTTAGAGCTTTCTGATTCGTGGAAGGACCAGAAAGAGGAGTGGATTTGTGACGTAAGATGTTATCATAAGTCAAGGATTGTTTACAACATACAGAAAAGATTATTGCAGCAACAGCAGACTTCGTGGAGTCTCACACTTTGTAATCTTTTCAAATAGTAAAACATGACATTTTTCTCGGTAAACATTTTAGTTGACCGAAAACCAACCTTTAACATACTTACGACAGCTTGCTCATTTCAGACAGAAAATCAAGAAAGGCATATTCAGGTGATTTCTTCTCTGAATGAGGAACAAAAATCATTACTTACTGTTTATGTAAAAATAAAAATTAGTAGTTCTTTTCAACCTGTAAAGCATTGAGTGAACTAACACAATTTGATTATCAAAACATTTGTAAGACAGTAATGATTATAAAGAATTGTCTTTTCTGCTTGATTAATTCAAGAAAGAAAGTTCATCAGATGGTTCAGACTTATTCAGATCAATGAAAATAACAGTCTCTGTCCATCTGGTAGATTTGAGGTTATCTGGTTCACTACACGTCTAACAGTTTGCAGAGTTTTCCTGCACATCCCGAGTTTAAAGTGTGTTCCAGTAAAGGATATTGTGGGAGGGTTCTTTTTTATTTTGCAGAAAGAAAAAAAAACTATTCAAATGTTTGTCCATTTAAAATTATATACATTTTCCATAGCAAATTAAACTTTTAGCTGAAGCCAAAAAAAAAAAAAGAAAAAAGTTGATTCACAGGAATAAATGAATGTGTAAAAGAGCAGACAAATCGTTACACGTGAGCTCCAGCACTCAAATAATTTATTACCTTTATTTTAAATGTCCCCAAGTTTGAGTGCTAATTGATCTGAGATGGAAAAACCTCCAAGTTCAGCTTAAAAAAAAACCTAAAGTTGTTCTGGTTTCTTGAGGTGACATCCACAAGCCAAGGATTTTTGGGGGGAAAATGCAAAGATTTTTTTTTTGCTTCTTCTTTGCGACTGCACAGAAATAGAGTTTTAGAAGTTCCCAAATGCTGTTATTTGGAAAACAGGTTTCAGTGTGAAAAAAATCTTCAACAGCCATCCAGTGTGGACAGCCAAAACACAAACTTTCCAAAACGATGAAGTCACAGCCCTATGTCTAACCAAACCTGAGGACGTTCTTTTTTTTCGGTTGTATTCACGATTCATACACAGCGTTAAAGCTTTAAGCAAATGTTACTTGCCTTGTTTCCTGTTTATATACAGTACATATATGAGATTTTGGTGTTTCCGTACGAATGATATTTCTAGAAACAATGGCACATTCAGGATATTTTTTTAAATGACAAATATAAATATCCTTTTGGGAAATCTGGGATGTCCGTTTGGAAAAGGCCTGAGTCTTATCACATCCTTCTAAAAGTGTTCAACACTTCCTATGAACTCTTCAACAAAACTGCACATCCATTCTTGTTTTGTCTTCCTAAGTAACTATTTTAATCTTGTTCTGTATTTTTCGGACTATGAGGCGCACCGGATTATAAGGTGCATAAAGCGAAATAAGTTCATTTTGACAGGTTTTTGAGCGCCGTGCACCACATGAAGTCAGTTCGAGGTCAGTAAGCACAATCAGAATTAATACAGAAGGTGCACTGGATGCTCACTGTCAATGTTTTAGACGATTAAAGGATTTTAAGTGTGCCTTATAGTCTGAAAATTACGGTAATATTTTATATGTCTAGTAGGAAACTAAATACCCAGGTGTTTGTGCAGATTTTCAATAAAACCATGATTTAAGGAGGTTACAGAAGTTAATTTATTAATCCCTATTAGACTGCTGTTATGACATTAAATAAATTAAACAAATGCACAAACTACAAAATAACAAATATGAAAAAAGCTATACAGATAAAGTATAGTAAAAGATTAAAAACTAAAATTTGCATATATATACTGTATATATAAGTGCATCGTCTGCATAGACAGAAACTTTGAGGTTGTCGATCATGACATCAAAAATTATAAATTTCCAAGTCATCGTAACAGCAAATAAAGACTTGAGTTCTGTGACACGAAAACAAAATTCATCCTCCATTTGTGTTCCTTTAAAAATAATCCATCAACAATGATGGTACTTTGGAATTAAATTCAAAGGCCCGTTTCTTCTATGAGTCTGCTGGTGACAGCAGAGTCTTCAGAGTTCATCCAGCATCTTCTCCATATGAACTCCAGATTCTGTATTGAAGCAACAAAAAGTCGCCAAACGAGTGCATATAGTCAATCGCTTCAAGGAGCTGGTGCCGTTCAGGTCCCAACTATTTGGATCTGGTTTGTGTTTGATTCTCAAAGTTTGGTGCTTCTTCAAAACTGATTGCTGATTGTTATTTTGAAGCCTGGTAGAAATCATGTGTTGTGTCTCAGTGCTGAAAATGTGCAGTAATTAAAGGGATGGTTCAGAGCTTTTGAAGTGGTGTTCTGTGGAAAGGTCATGCACAGCTGGTACCGTAGTTTTTGGACTATAAGGCGCACCAGATTATAAGGCGCATTAAGTGAAACGATAAGTCAAACTTTATTCAACTCATTCACAGTAACGCTCAACATTGTTCAGTTGTACCACATAAAATCGGTTCGAGCTCAGTAAGCACAACCAGAATTAATACATAAGGCGCACCGGATTACAATGTTGATTTTTGAGAAAATTAAAGGATTTTATGTGCGCCTTATAGTCTGAAAAATACGGTATCTTTAGTTTAAAAGGCTCAAAAGT